AATTTAATTAAATAATTGATAAATTAGAAGTTAACTTTTATTTTTTTAATACAGATTTATGACAAAAGCACATATTAACCCGTGCGCCAAAGGCAGATGTTAAACAAACACATAAAAAAAATAACACTCTCTCTATTCATTTTTTGTAAATTTAATTTAATTTTTTGACTTTTAAAACATAAAATTTTAGATGAGAATTTAATAATCTATATGAACAATAATTGAAATTTTTTTATCCTTACATATAATTCTTGTTAAATATTTTTATTTGATTAAAAAAATTAAATTATTATTTATATAAATTATTAAATTTTTATTTAAAATTCATATTTTAAAAGTTAAAAAAGTTAAATTAAATTTATTAAAAATAAATAAAGAGAGTAAAATTTTTATCTTTATCTGCACATTTTTTCTGGCAAACAAGTGCAGTAAGAAGATAATAAAATGTCATTTCTACAATAAAAATGGACCCTGTGATAGGCTTCTGCCTTATTTTCCTTTTCAGTTCCTCAAAGGCTCCAACTCCACCATTTTTTCTTCTTTGAAACCTCAGGGACCTCTGAAATCAAGAACAAATTCGGCCAAAGAAAGATTAGCATTATGGTGAAGAAATTCACCCAAAATCAGTGAAACGAAGCATAATACAATCACCTCCTTGAAAATAGATTGAATTGTAGTGAACCTCAGCCCAAAAGCTCAAGAAAATAACTGCAAACGACATGGAAATGCCATTTGATGTTAGGTCTCTTTGTTTTTTTTTTTTGTTTTGGTATGACCAAGAAGATCATAGGGAATCTATTATGTAAGTCTAGACATGTTACCTCCTTTTGATTTTTGGAAGTCTGGAACGATCTCTATATAACCAGTATCCTTAAAAGAGGTTATTACTAAAATCTTCGAACCATACTGCACAAAAGAAGGTGAAAATGAAAATATTAGCCATTGACAAAAAAAAGCATGCAAAGGTGCAAGAATCATCTGTTTGCTGAGTAATTTGTTTATAGTCCTTACCGTGTCTGCAGCTGCTTGCAGTGTGACATGATCACCCCATTCACCACTCCTGGTAATAATAATAATGTGTTAACATGCAAATTCTTTTGTGAGAAGTTTATGGAGAAAATGGGCAAATAAGAATGTCAACTTCGTACTTTTTTTCTATTTAAGGATGTTAACTTTATCAATTTCTAAATAAAAATGTCAATTTTCAACTTTTTCTATTTAAGAATGTCAATTTTTAATTTTTTTTATTTAAAAATACCAACTTTCAACTTTTTCTATTTAATGATTAATTAAATGATGATATTGACATGGCAAACATAATTTTTAACTAAAATATTGAAAGTTGACATCTTTAAATAAAAAAAGTTGAAAATTAACATATTTATTTAAAAACTAACAATGTTAACATTCTTAAATAAAAAAAAGTGCAAAGTTAACATTCTTATTTGCACCTTTATTTGAAGTTTATGATTAATAAACATGAAAAGGTGAGAGTTTAATACTGTGACATCTTCTTCAAGTAGTCATCATAATCCATTGGTACATATCCTTCGTACTTCTCTCGTTGAGATTTAAGCTAAAGAAACAAGCCATTGTTGCAAAAGTTACATCAGGATCAAAATTATGCACATTATAATCTAATGGAAGAATTATTTATTTGCCAAAAAAGGCTATGGCTATTGTCTAGGACAGCAAACCTGGTTCACAACTTGTCTTCTCACATATTCGTGATGCTCAGGTGTTCGATATAATTGATCCGATAAAGCACGGAACTACAAAATGGAAGGACAAACCAATAACTATTGTTGAAGAAATGCAATCATATATTTGAGGACTACCATAAGCCTAAACAATTGGGATGAGGAATGCAAAAGAGAATAAAGACAACGCAAGGAGAACAAACCTGACAATTGCCATCTCCTTGAACCTTGTTCTCAACAAAGTTGTGCAACTGTAATCTGGATAAAGAAAAAAACAATATGCAGCATCAACATCCGATAACTGTTGATAATTGTTGAAACCTACCAGCCCCTTCTTCTCCATGATGTATCAAATTTAACATCCTAGGTGAAGACAAACTAAAAATTAAACCTGTTCAACAGCCTTTCGTGATCTGAAGTTGCTTCATCAAACGATGGTATTTCTCTGTTGATTCTGGGAACATACTGAGGAAAACAGACAACAGATTCATTATAAGAAATTGTCAGTCAGATATGCTCCTACAGATGTAAATATGCTTGGTTGAGATGAGGATTGGCCTCAAACAGGAAGATTAAGACATTCCCATGATTCCCAAGAATCATGGGACAGAGTTCATGCTCATATGCATTCCAGACAATTAGACTAGACATGGACATGAATATAGATATTTGTTTCACAACTACCATGGCAAGGTTATTCATAATAATGTAATATTCAAAATGAAAAGATTTTAGTGTCACCTTAATTGGCACAGCAATACAGGAACAATACTATACCACAAAATGATTTGCCACCAAAATATAGCTCAATCCAAGAAACCCGATTTGAAAATGACTTTCATAATAAACCCTTTTTTTTTAAGAAGTACACAAGCACAGAGGAAATTAGATGCATAAAGGAGGAGATTTTTGGTGCCATTTATAAGCCAAACTTACAGGTATCTGAACCATTTGACTTAACCTCTGGCCGACTTCATCATCTATTAAATATCCATCAGTTGGCTCTAAAGAGTAGGAATACTCTTCTGAATCATTGGGGCTGGAGCATGAACCATGTTCATTTTGGCCATAGTCATAGCTTGCATGTGCTGCAAAATTTTGTCAAACAATTTAGGCATTTAAGTACTGTTAAAATGATTTGGACAAAAAAGGGAACCATTAAAATGGAATTGAGATGCTAGAAAACTTTCATCTACCAGAATAGTAGTTCACTGCTGATGAATTATGCCAATCAGGAGCGTCACTAAATGTTTGTACTTGCTCTTCTCCAGAATTTGACAAATCAGAAGCTTCAGCAATTGCTAGCTGTGAAAACTCTTCTTGAAGGGTGCGAGCAATAACCTCATCATTTTCTGTTTGGTTGTACACTGTGTCATCATTTTCTGTTTGGTTGTACTCTGTGTCATCATAACCTCTATAATGTCCATAATATAACTCAACAGTATCATGTTGTGTGTCAATAGGGTACCCACAGTGAACATTATTGTCATATCCGAGCATCCAATCCCAAAAATCTACATGCCGATACATATTACTCAATCCAAGCAACGTTTTCAAGGATAAAGTTGAGCCACCTTGGTAGTCACTAGTAAATTCTGTGCAAAAAAACTACTAGTAAAACTCTGGATTGTCCACCAAAAAACATTAGCATATCCAGCTTCAAGCATCTTGAAACAAGTGATGATATAAGAACACCCTAAATGAGCTAAAAACTCTGCTTCAAATTAGAATACTAAAGATAAAGCCTAAGTTATAAGCTGGTCATGGCTTTAACAGCAGTCTAGGCGAGACACTATCTAACAAAACAGCAGTCTATAAGCTTCAATCCAATTCTCTGCAATTGTTTATAGCTAACTGATCCTAACAAACCCATTACCTCTGGTTTGAGGAACATTTCCACCTTAATTTTAGCCATGCAAATAAAATATACGGTTTTTCCTGTGCCCTTAGCAATAAATACCCCTTTTGGCTTTTGAGATTACTTTGTATTGAAGATATAAGTTTAGACACATGATTATGATTGGACGGTAGAAAGATCCAAGATAAGCACATGTTTTTTCAACAGGAATTAATACCAAAAAAAAAAAAAGTATTTATTTCTATTTAATCTGTATCTACCTAAAATATATGAAAAGATTAGCTAGTTAAACCACGAATATGCATTTGCTTCAAATGCACTCCCAGAAAACATAGTTTATTCTTCATGAAGTACAAAAGGTTTAAATTGCAACAAGTGAGTCCAATTTGGTAATATTTTCTTTCATAAAATCTATTATAACAACAGCATTTCTTAAAGGTTAAGAATTCAGTTGACCTTTTAACCAAAGGCCAAAAGGTAAATAATTATAAAAAAATTAAAAAAAATTAAAAAAAGAAAAAGAAAAAGAAAAAGATTCCATCTTTCAAAGAAACCCAGGAATGGAATCAGAGTGAAAAGGCCATATGCAACATAAAAAAGTCTCTTTAAGTAGATTTCTATTATATTATAAAGGTCAAGACTGCATCTAACCATCTCAATTCAATTTAGCACCTAATTCAAACCACAATCACTTATTAAAAAAGATTTACATAACTTAACCTCAATTGATGGAACCACATACATGCCTTAGCTGAACATTTCAGGAGGTTGAAAATTCAAGATTAGAAAAATCTAGCACAAGAACTGCTTTTACCACATAAGTAACCCACAAGAGCACCGATGTGTCCTTAAATCTAACAAAGAACACATCAAACACAACTCTAAATACCCATATCAAATTTTGAACAAAATCTTGATAACAGAGTAGAGAAGACGCAAACAACCAAAATCCCACATCAATCAGAACCATACAATCTCATGAATGAATAATCCAGAATCCAAACCCAGAACAAAGAATTGAAAAATCTAACAATTCCTCAACAAAACAGAAAACAAAAGAAAACCCAGAAAGCAAACTCCATATATGGATTCATCATTCAATTCCATCAAGAGACGAATCAATAAAAGAAACAAGAATCGAATGGGGACTCACCATAGCAGAAAAGATTGAATCTTTGGGCCAAAGAAAACCAGATACTGCAGCAGAAGAGCGTCAATGAAAATGGGGTACACAGGTGACAAAAGATAACGATCAAAGGTTGAAAATTCAAGGAAGGAAAGTAGACAAGAGACGTATCGCAAGCAATTTATATACTATTTGCCGCGGCGACATCAATATTTTTTTTGGAGCGAAAAAGAGTCAGTCAAGGAATGGTCTCGAACCGTTGGATCTTGATCTCGACGGACTGGATTCGCGGTTGTTTAGATCTATCTATCTTATTTAATTCTCGGAATTTATAATAATTTTTAGGATTTTTTTAACATATCAAAAGTATATTAAATATTTATTTTTAAGAATTTGGTTTCTTTAAAATAATATCTT